CCGCACTAACTGAAAATCGGAACAAATTTTTACAACTAGGCAAAAAACACCAAAAAAAACAAATGTTCACGCAACTGCTTGAACTTTTCAAGGGTTCTACCAAAACAATTTTCGTCGAATGGCGCGGACAAAAGTGATAGAGCGCTAGGCAGGCCAGAGAGCGGAGAGAAGGGGAGTAACGGGGCACAGGATTTTCGCTAACTCTGGAGAGTAAGGAGGAGCTCAGAGTGGATGAATCGATTCGTTGACTAAAAGAAGAATTGCGCGCCACATCGATCCCGTTTCGCCTGAAGGGTCCTTAAAGGTCCCCACCCCTCACAAAGCGAACCGTGCCGGAAAAGAAATTAAAAGACTAAACCGAACGAGTTCAAGCAGTGCGCATATCGATCACCAACACTGTCCAATTGCTCACCATAAGACTGAATCCTTGGAATTTATTCTTCTTTATAAGCTCATAGAGATTGATATTTAACAGCTCAAACGTAATACATTTATGATTACGGAAATTAAAATAATCCAACATGTGGATTATATTATGTGAGCCGTCCGTATCTTGACGACGTAGATGATCCTGAAGTCACAAATATTTAGGAAAAATTCTTCAAAAAGTTTTGTTTGAAACACATTTCGCGGTAACCGGATGGGCGGAGTTTAAGTTACTGCATCGCTGGGGAATCCTATCAAGGTGGGGTGGGGTTACTTGCCTTTGAAAGACTTTTTCTCGGATCTAAGCCGCGAAAACGTTTTTTCCACTTGTTGACTTTTCTCGGATTTTCTCGTTTCATGAGGGAAATGGACCCTTTTGGAGAATCGGAGAAAAAGTGGAAAGTTGGTGAGAAGGATAGGGGAGTTGTACCAAATGAGGAATCTACACTGTACAGCTATCCGCCCTATCCTAATTTGGGTAAGGAGATGATGGGGGAGGGGCACTGACAGCACATTTCGCACGCCACAATGGTGTACCCTGACGCGTCCCCCACAGATGTGCCTCCTCCTTCTAGGGTTACGGAGACGAAGATCGGTCAAGGATGAGGGCACAACGGTAGGTCTGGCTCCGCCCACCCGATATACTCCGCAGAATACTCTTTTGGTACGATGTCGCCAGGAAGCTTTACGACATCACTGATCTCTACAGGTTACATCTAGAAGTTACTTGTAACCAACAGCACGTTACCATAGAATTCTTATCTCCGTCGTCAGACTTTGCCGATGAAACGTCTTTCGTTTCCGCACTTAATTTCAACGCGCACATACTCTGGTATTTATGATCGTTATCACGCTTTATCACTGAAAATTGTTACCTATAATCAGACGTCCTGGGCATGGCACTTCCCACAAAAAACACTTGTCTAATAAGCCAAGCAAAAGAAAAACTGCTAAAAGTCAATACTCTTCAGAACATCAACCTATACCACAGATGCTTAAAAGAGGGGGGGGGGTGCAAGTGTGATCCAAGAGTATACTGAATACCTATATCTTACAGATATCCAGAATCCTCTTTGCATACAGTTTGCCCCCCCCCCCCCCTCCCCCTTCAAGAAATTTGCAGCCCCGCCGCTCACCTCTCCTTCAAAGAACTTATGTGGCAAAAAAGGATTTTCGCAGCAACCCTTCTCTCAGGCGCTGATGAACTCGCATCGTTTCCACGCTTCTTAGCAACTTGGCTCCATTTATCAATCTCAGTCCCATCGACGACAAAATTAAGACCCGCCAGCCACGAAGAAAGAAAAAAATATGCCGTACATACGTGTAACGACCGTTGTTTTTTTATTTTGTCTTTGCAGCTGTAATGTAATCAATTCTCCCATGTTGCGTGAGTTCTCACCAGTCTACTGTAATATTTCCAGTATTTCTTACAACCTTGGAGAAATATTCATTTTGAACCTAAGACACCCATGATGTGAAGTTTTTAACCGGGACCTTTTCGAAGCATTTCAGTAGAGCATACGCTCCAAGGTGGGTGTCGATTTCGAGTGCACTGGACCGAGAAATCGATATCTACATTTTACGCTCTGGGTAACGGACTAAGGAGATGTATGGAATCCAATTTTGGACCTCCCATGATCCAAGCATACCGAACGAGGGTATGGAGCATTACCTCCCATCGGAGGCGTAAATGGCATTGCATTCGGGTGGTATAGACACCCCACCAGGACCCTACCCACCCAACATGGTAACGGCGCTGCGCGTCGATCCTATCATCCAATTCAACTCTCACGCGATGGGAAATAATGCTCCACACCCTTTCAAATCATGCCTTTGAAGATCCTTGCCGAAGGATCTAAAGGGTAGGCTACTGCGCCCTGACCCACTTTTTTCGGAAAAAAACATCGTTATTAATGGGATCCCAAGCGGTTGCGGGGCACTCCAAGATGACGAGTAAAGTTCCTTCACCAACTTATTCCCCACCCATCCCTCCTCAAATACGACCCCCAAATCCATGGATTCTTCCTAAACCACCAATTTACCGGAGAAAAATACTGATGCATTGCGAACAAAGACGGTGAATATAACTTAG